AGCTCACAATGCAGTGTTCAGAAGTGTGCTCAGGAGGAAGGTGCAGAGGGATGTGGGTACGGGCGTGGGATGTGTTAGCCTTTTAAATAAGGAGGTCAGGGAAGGCATTTTTGAAGGGTGGCACTGGAGCAAAGTTGGCAGGTAGTGAACGGTGAGCCTGGGCTCTCCAGGGGGACATCCCAGGTAGAGGGTGGGCACATGGCAGGCTCTGATGAAGGATGGGGCATCTGGGGCAGATGGCTCCAGTCTGGGCAAAGATACAGTGGGTAGGGAGTAGTCTTTGCAAGGTTTTGGCTTTTATGCTGGGATGACAAGCTGCTTCTTCAGTTAAAGTAGCTGTCCCTCTACTGTTTGGAAGTGTGTTCTGAAATAGCTGCTTTTGCTACTTGTCTTTATTATGTAACAGGTTGCTTCGGTCTTGGGCAGATTCTACCTATATTTACCCTTAAAACCTACTGGTACGCCTCAGCTTATTGAAACATAGATTACATATGTATATACATATATATGTATATATATGCACATATTATTTATATATATATATATATCTTGTTGAGGTGCTCTTTAGGAGGAATAAAAAGTATAATGTGCAACATTTATATATACATAATTAGGGTTTGTGGGGCCCTCTTTTTCCCCCAGGAGTAAAATAGTAAAATTCAAATTTCAAAAAATGGTTTTGCAAAAAAAAAGAAGGGGCCTACTCTGGAATGTCCAGAGAGAATGGCATCTCTACTGTCCCTGTGATTATGTTTCCCGCTCAGCCTGCCTTGGAGAAGCTCTTCACACTGCAGAACACACACGTCCCTGCTGCTGCTGAGGGCTCCTCCCCGTGCCCTGCTGGGACGCAGTGGGAGGAAGGGTGCGTCTTTTGAGAAAGGAGAACCTGCAACAGCTGGTACAAGACTGTCTTGCACACTGCTGAGTGGTCACGACAAGGTGTAACGTGGTCTGCCTGGAAGTACCGGTGCACAGTGGAGCCCTCTCGGGGTGAGCGAGGCGCCTGGGGGTGCTGGTCTCTCTAGGATTAACCACCTGGGCCCACCTCTGTGAAAACCAGGTGGCACTGCAGAACCAGGCTCTGTTGGCAGGGCCAGTGCTGGAACAGATGTGGGCAATGGGTGGAGCCCTACCAAAATGGGCCGCTTGCTTTTGAAAGGGTAGGTCAGAGTCAGAAGGAAAAGGGAAGGGGGTGCCCACCGGTCTTCCGAGAGCGTGACGTTCAGGCTCTTGGAAGGGACTGCCTGCTTCCTGGTGCCGAAAGCCCCAACCACTGCTGGGGCCCTCGTCCTGGCCTATCTGCTCTCAGCCAGGGCAGAGGCCACTTCCGCAGTCCGACAGGGCCACGGCCAGAGCGCGCCTGCCTGCTCAGCCACCGAAACTCCTTTCTTCTCACTGGAAGCACTGGGAGAAAAAAGAACAGCACACTGGAGGAACTTAATTTGTGAAGTGCCACTGAGATGAGGGGACAACACCATGTCACAAAGAAAGAAACCTCAAACAGGCAGTGGATGCCTTCAGTTTTTACTCCAGGTCTCTCAGGAAACAGCAACGTGCATGGAATGGAACTTACACACACTGGTTTGGCAGTCTTTTTTTTCTTTCTTTTTTTCTTGCACAAATTTCCCACCACTGACAGGTACAGCCCTTTTTTCTTAATTAATATGAAACGCATTTTGCTAGGTGAAGTTTGTTTCTGTGGTGTAGAGTATTTTGCTTATGGATGTTGGAGGGAGCACTGAGGACCCCGGGGTCCCTCCCCAGACACAGGCTGGGTGCTACTCAGAAGATTTCCACACCCCGAGGTGTACATGTGGGGGCGTGGAGAGTCCTTTCACCTCGTGCCACCAAATTCCTGACAGTAAGCTACTGAATAAAGTTGGTCATTTTGGAAAAGAGGAAATTTGTGAAGTAATAGATTCAAATGACTCTGAGTGGTAACGGCTTAAGAAAAGGTCCACAGTAACTTAGTGAATAGAAAATATTCATTTAAGAGGAAAGGAGCGGCATTAGAAACCATGAACAGAAAGAAGAAAATCAAGCTCTCAATTAAAAAAGGAAAACAGTTACGCTTCCCCACTTGCAGACGGTATTTTCACAAACAGCAAAAAGCATTAACCCCAGAGCCCACAGCGGCGCCCCTTCCCACCTCCAGTTCCCTGGGTGTAAATACTGCTCTGTGGTATGTTCTCAAAATCATATAAAAGTAACTTCTACAGTACAGTTTGAACTTGGCTTGTAAAATTTCAACATAACATTGCATAAAATCTACAAACAGAATACAATGAAAAACACCTTTCCTTAACAACATATTATTTCTAAAAAATCAATTACCCAGGTAACCCATGTGCAGGGAATGTGAATTTCTGAAATAACCTCCACAGGGGTTTACAAGTATCGAGAGCCTTCTGGAAACTTGCTGTTACTTAAGATGCATCTGCTTTTCCCAGAAAGGGACCCACCGCTGGATTGGATGGGGACACTGCTCAGGGCCAGGACAGGGGTGGCATAGCAGTGCCAGCAGGTGGGGCTGCCTTCTCCCGTTGCCCTGCTCTACAAAGAGCCCCGAATCACAGAAGAGCAACAGGGAACTCCTTGGTCCTCATGTTATTAATTGTCACTAACATCGTTTGGAATAGTTCCTGTCCAGGCCCAAAGCTAAGATGGTCCAGGGCCCGCCACCAAGTCTGAGGAGCGCTTTAAGAACATGGAGCATGCTGTCAGCCCGCAGGGCCAGCGCATTCCCACTTTCATAGTTTAACACTGCTCACAGGATGGGTCACAGAGGGACAGGGCTGCTCCTCAAGGACGTGGGCTGATGGCAAGGTGTGGGCCTGCAGCAGGCACCAGCAGGTGCCCAGCTTGTGACTAAGCAGCGAGGCTGGGCCTTCTGCACGGCCAGAAGGGCCCGGGTGAAGCTTGTGGCTGCGCCTTAGGCTCTTGTTGGACACACCCGTCGTCAGAGGAGGGCAGGGTGGAGGTAAGTTGGCAATGCAAGGAGTCAGAACACATCATCATTTTTTGATAATACATATGAAGGGCTTCCTCCATTACAATGGACTGGTTTTGTCTTAGTTTCTCTTTTTTTTGACCTGGCAGAGAGCACGAGAAAGAGAAAAGATTTGCATAGCCAGTTTTGGAAATGTCTGGTTGGCTGTTCTAACATTAGAAATGTGAGAAAACATACATTGATGCCTCCTTGGCATTATGCGCATGGAAGTTTGGCTTCTGAATTTGAACTGAAGCATTTTTAAGGTGGACTGTCTCCGCCTCCGACGGGTGAGCAGTATGGGTGGGCAGCGCCTACACAGGAAGTGATACTTTGTGACCCCACCGCTTTGGAGGGGGCGGCAGCTGCTCAGTGGGACAGGATGGAAGGAATCAGTCCGAAACAGCTGCCACAGACCCTCTCGATGAGAGATTTTTTTTAAAAAGTGCTTTTTTTTCTGAGTAAGGAAAGAAACCACAGTAGTACTAGGGACATGGATGTTAGTAATTACCACACATTGAAAGTGTCTTGTTTGGCATTAAAAGTAAAACTTTGCAAAAACATCTCAAAGGTTCTATTTAATAAATAATTTTCATTTGAGGAATCACGTATGTTGTGCTCGCTTCAGCAGCACATATACTAACAAAAGGAATCACGTATGCAAAACTTGGATCAATTACTGGAAACTCCATAGGCTGCGGAATAATTAGAAACAAAAGGAATTACTCACAGGAGATACTCAGTTATTTTATTGTAATTTTTCAAACAAGTAAAAAAAATCCCCTCCCCATCTTTTTACTTTTGCTGCTCATGTGTGGGGCCCTCCTTTCTGGAAGAGAAGCCTGCTCCGGGGGAGACAAGCTCTTTTCCTGTATTTCTCAGGCTAAGCTGACTGCGAAGCCAGGTGCGTGCTCCTTTCTTGGGATTCTTGGGCTGTTCAAAAGCTCACAGGTTGGGAAGTACTCATTTGTTAGTGAGGATTTTACCCATCGCATCCGTATTTCCTGGGGACAAGCTCTTTCCTCCGTGAGGCAGGGTTGGCTCCTCAGCGTCCTTGGCTAAGAATGGTCGTCTCCAGAGGTAATCTTGGAAGGAAGAGGCTGCATATTGCTGCTCAAGACAGGGTAGCTAAGGACACATTTGTTTTTTTAAAAAAAATTTTCCTCAAGAAATGTTAAGAGGCACCAAAAAAAGAGACCACTCAGAGCTCTGCTGCTCCCTCAGTGTGTTATGGAGCCAGAGGCAGGGCCGATCCTACCTTGTGGGGGCCCCAGTCACAGTGCACCCCTTTACCTGGCTGAACTCAGATGGATGCAGGCGGGGTGGGGTGGGTTTCCTCTCTCCCCGGGCTCCCTCAGCTGCTTCCCTATGAAAATAGGCTGGGCCAGGTTTCAGAGCAGCCTAGCAGGGCTTGCACAGTGACCAAAGGGTCAATTCCTTGCCTCTCTCTCGGGACGCTGATGTGATGTCGCCTACTAAGGGGCCACCGGGCGACCGTTCACTGTGGAAGTGTCCTCAAAGGAAAAATGTGAGCAGGCTGTCATAGTTGCTCATACGTGGGCCTATTCGAGCTGTGAGTGCAGAACCCTGTGTTTTGGACGCAAGGTGTCTTTGGAAAGCTCCCGTCACCTGAGCTGCCGGGCACCAGGAGCCATCTCGACACTCGAGGCGCCCTGCGAGGTAGGTTGTCCGGTGCCCCTTCTACGGTTGCCCTCGGCTCGGATGGCAGTGAGAATGTGGCTGAGCGAGCAGGTTTAGCTTATGAAATGGAGCCGAGCGTTCCTAGAGGGCCACGAGGACCCCTAGAGCGTCAGCGGGCCCAGGTGCCTGCTCTCTGGAGGTCCCGGGCCGGAAAGCAGGGAGGGCTTCGCTGGGGACCCGCCTGCGCGCCTGTGCTCAGCCCGGGGTGCCACCAGCCGCTGCATGCGAGCCACCGCTCCCTGGAAGAGGTCAGTCGCTAGAGTGGGGAGAAAACATGAAAGGGGGAAAAAGCATGTAAAACACTCCCTTCTAAAAACAAAGGGCTGCGAATCTCTTTATTTCTCTTATAGAGGAACAAAAATACTCTTGCAATGGCTATTGAGTTTCCACAGGTACGAGGCAGATGCTAGGCTAGCACACCCACTTCCAACAGTATGACTTGTTTCCTATCCGTCTACTACCTGAGTGGCGTCAGTGTAGGTTCAGGCACCATTAGGAACGTTTGACCAAACACATACACGGCACTGACAGAGGAGGCGCCGCCTTCCGGTGGACCAGGGCGTGTAAAAAAGACACCGACAGAATGGAAAATAGTCCCGGGGCCCGGGCCGGGCCGGGCCGCGCGCTCAGGGTCGGGCCGCGCGCGCCTCGCGCCGCCGCCGCAGCTCGTCGCGGTAGCAGCACGAGCAGAAGTGCTCGGTCTCCGCGCGCCCGTAGAAGGCGCAGTTCTCGCGCACGCAGCGCCGCTGTGCTGGCCCGGGGGCGCCGCGGCCGCACTCACCGTTCGAGTGCGCGGCGGGCGCGTCGGCGTCGGCGAACTCCAAGCCTTCGCGCGCCGCACCGAAGCCGTCGGTGTAGGTCTGCGACTTGTGCTCGGCCGCGCCCGCCGCCCCGGGCACGCCGGGGAGGGCGCCGGGCAGGGCGCGCGCCAGCGACTCCACCGTGTTGACCGTGCGCAGCGCGGCGGCGCGCGCTGGGCTGTAGCTCTGCGACGACAGCGAGCGGTTCTGCTGCGGGTATGTGGCGCACGGCCGCAGCGCGCCCACCGCCGGCGCGCACGCTTCGTCCCGCGCGCCCGCAGCCTGCACGTGGATGACGCTCTGGCGCCCCGGAGGGCTGCGGCCGGGGCCCGGTCCGTTGGCGCCCGCACGCCGCGCGCTGCCGCCGCCGGGGCCTGGGGAGGCCGACCCCCCCGCCGCCGCCCGCGCCGCCCTCGTCCCCGCAGCCGCCGCCGCGGGGCTCGGGCGCTCCTTGAGCTTGAGCACTAGCTGCGTGGGCTGCGCGGCCTGCGGGCCCGGAGAGGCGCGCTCCGGGCCCGGCGCGCCCTCGGCCTCGGGTCTGCGCGGCGGCCGCTTGGCCGCGGCGGCGTCGCGGCGCCGCTGCTCCTGCTCGGCGCTGAAGCGCTCCTGCGCGCTGGTCAGGTAGTAGCCGATCATTTCCTCGTGGAACTGGTGCCGGTGGCTGGTGAGCAGCAGCCCGGCAAAGATGAACTTGCGCTCGCCCTGCATGGCGGCACGCAGGATGTTGAGGCTCAGCTTCACGTCCGTGCTGTACTTCCAGGCATCGCCCCGCGGCCCGCCCTTCTCCGCCGCCTTGTCCGTGGGCGACGGCGTGGTCTTCTCCGACGGCGACGTGCTGGCCGACGCGCCGGACTCTTCCTTGCTGCCCTTGCGCGACTTGGCCTTCTTCTCCTTGCCGCGCTCGGCCGCGTCGCCGTTCTTGCCGTTGGCCGAGTTGGAGCGGCCCATCTTGCCGTGCACCAGGCCGCCCAGCCCGCCCATGTTCTTCTTCAGCTTAATGCCCAGCGTCTTGCTGAAGCTGCCCAGCTTGTTCGCCACGGAGTCCGCGCGCGTTTTGTCCTTCTCCTTGCGCTGCTTGTCTTTCTCCTTGTCCTTGCCGTTCTTGCCGTTATTGCTGTTGGAGTTGCTGCACACCGAGTCGCGGTCCGAGTCCAGGGAGTCGGCCAGGGACTGCACATCCTCCCCCGCCGAGGCCGTCGGGGACTCGGGCTGTGCCAGGGGAGCCTGCGGGGAGAGCGGGAAGGCCGTGGTGAGAGGAGGGCTGTCCCCGCGTGCAGGCAGCCGGGAGGACAGGCCTTGCCAGAGCCGAGCTGCCGACTGTCTATCCCGGCTGCCCCGCAGGGCCCCCAGAGGGGGACGGGCTGCTCTGGTAATGAAAAGACAGGCCCCGGGCTTTTCGAAGAAGGCCCCGCGAGGCTGTCATCTGGAGGTGCCTCGTGGGACGACCCTGGGCCGCACTCACCTCCTCTCCGAGCTCCGGCCGGCGCCTGGGAGCCCTGGGCAGGGTGCAGTACCTCCGCGGGCTCCAGCCACCATCCTCCGCACGTTTCACAGGGGCCTGAAACCTTGCCCTCCGACCTCACTGTTTGGCTCTTGGAGCAAAGACCCCCTGGATTCAGTGACGGCATATCAATTTAGGGGTTCTCCCCCAGTTTGGAAATGAGAAAGACTGCGAGGGATTCTGAAATAGGACTGCACTCAGCAGGAAAGATGTTCCCATTCCCAGCAGAGGCTGCCTGGGGCCTGTAGAGGGACGTGGGCAGGAACGTCTCTGTGCACCCGGATGACATCCACCAGTGAGAGCCCGAGGAGGGAGAGGTGGGGGCCGGGCTCAGAGGACTGGCAGCAGCTCGGGCTGCAGTGCAGAGGGACCTTCCTGGGCGAGGAGCGTTCTGACCCAGCACCCAGGGAAGGGCAGGGGCCCTCAGGGTGGTAGCGGGGCGCACAGGAACTGGCACCTGAACGGGCTTGGAGAAGGCCTGTTGCCCCCCCCACCCGCCCCCACTTAATTTTTGTTCTCCTTCCCCGTGTAGGTCCAAGAGGAGGGTGACCTTCCGCAGGCCAGGTCACTCAGAAGCCAGGGTTAGCAGGACTGGCCTCATCTTTCTCCTTCCCACCTGGGGTTTGAAGGAATTCTGAACGGTCTCAGACACTGAGGGGTAGAGCCAGGAAAGGAAGACACTGGGTGCTAGGAACGGCCTTTGGGGAGCAAGGCTTCAGTGCCCTCATGCTGGCCGGGCCCTGGCCAGGGCTGTCTGCTGAGAGCTCTGCATTTGACCCGGAGGCCCCCAAGGGCTGACATTGGGGGCAGAGCTGGGCCCAGCAGGAAGCTGTCCTGATTCTGGGTTTAGGGTGGCTGCCATCACACCGGACGCAGGTGCCAGAGAAATCCTCCCAGCTCTTAGCTGGGCCTCAGCAAGGTGGAGTGTCAGCAGCAGCCCGGGGCAGCCCCGTGGGGATTACCTGCCTTCCAGTCACAGCAGACAGTCCGGCATGGTCCTGCCTGCTTATGAGCCCTGCCTGGTGCCTAAGTAAACTGATGTCTGGGAAGGAAGGCTTATTTGGAAGCAAGCTTTACAAATCCCTTTCCCTGGGAGTTCCCTATTGAGATTACAAAAACATCAACTATCAGATAATTAAGATGAATCTTTCTGAGCCTCTGCAAGCCAGGTGGCCCCTGAGCGGGAGCTGTGAGCACGTCTCTCCTCAGGCCCTGCCAGCTCTGCCCACTACCCTCCAGCCTGCCTCCTCCAGGACTCGCATTCTTGGTTCCCTGGCTTTCCAAGGACCCACACAGTTTATCATTAATTGCACTCTGCAGCAGCACACTGTGTTCTGATCTCAGCAGAGATAGGTTTCTGTTGTGACTTGCCTGGGTTTGTTTGCTGAGTGGGCGTGTTCTCCTAACCAGAAAGCAGAAAGCACGCTTGTACACACAAAGCCTACACACAGGTGTACATACATACACACCAGGGCCCACAGGAGGTATTTCATGTCAGAGCCCCGATGGCCTTGGCTGTATCTGGCTGGGACAAGAGGGTGGGGATGGGCATCTGGGCAGGGGAGGGGAGCGTTGGCAGGGCCAGGCCACCGGCCTGTCACTGGGTTGGGCCCTGGCACACAGGCAGCTCACCCTGGTCTCAGAGGGAATCCGGATCCACGTCACGTTCATGTAGCTGTGCAGGAGGTTCAGCTTGGCTTCTAGGGAGAGGATGAGGCTGACAAGAGAGGGCACCAGGTGTAAGGGGCTGGAGGGGTCCGAGCTTGTCCATGCTCCTGTTCCCCAGCCCGAGAGCCAGTGGAGCCCACCCAGCCCCTTCCCAGAAGCCCCGTACAGCCCTCCCTGTGGGGCAGGGTCTTTCTTACTGGGCCAGCCGGGTGTTATCGTTGTCATCTTTCCCCCACTCCCAGTCCTTCCCTGGGTCCACTGCAAAGTGCAGGGGCAGCAGCTTGTGCTCAGAATCCGTCAGGGGGATCACAGCTGGAAGAGAAGAGAGAGAGATGGTGCCAGGCAACCCACTGGTGGCCGGAAGTGTGGCAGTCCCAGCACTGCTTGGGGAGGACAGGAAGGGAACTGCAAGGCCAGATGTCCCTGTCATAAGCGAACTCAATGGAGATCAGTGCCAGCAGGAGATTTAGGATGTTAAAATGGTTAGTGTTAGAAGTTTCATAGTTATTATGGACACGGAGGAGCAGTTGGAGGCATCACCCAGACTCTGTCTCTGAGTCCCTCAGATGGCAGGCACCCACTAGGCATCAGGATGAGAAAAAGTGGTGGTAGCTTGTATTCTGAGGAAAGACCCAGGCAGCGAGGTGCACTGTGCAGACACCGTGCTGGTGGGCTGTTCCTCACCTTGTCTCATCCCAGAGAAAGGACAAACTAAATCGGGGGAGAGAGACATGCCCTGACTGCTCGTGAGTTCATGCAAGAAGACTACAGTACCTAGGATTCCTGGACCCACCTGGCCCCTGCCCACAGTCAGCTCACCTGTGGTGGACAGAGACAAATACCTCAAAATGTCCGGCCCAGATGAGCTCAGGAAAAAACCTAAGCAGCAGGCTGGAGGCACTCATGGTGGCAGCCCTTCTGGGGCACAGTGAGGGAAGCCTTTGGCAGTCCCACGCGGGAGGGGACTGCAGTGCGGAGCACCTAACCTGTCATTTCTCAGAGGGGTGGATTCATCTGGCAGCATCTTGGGTGTGGCACCCATGGGAAATCAGCAGGGCTGGGCACGGGGGCCTCCAGGGGTACTTGGGGTCTGCTAGGAGCTCCTGCATTGCGGCAGGACCCAACATGGAGTCGCGAATGTCACACCCGACTCCTAAGGGCATGTCAGGGATCATCAGCAGGAGGAAGTGGGCAGAGGCAGTTTCAGTTCCCCCTCTAAGCAAGCAGCCAACGCCTCCTGGGGGCTCCACTCACGGGAGCCCCACATAACGAGCCTAGCCCAGGGCCGCTGGCCACTTGCTTTGTTCCTTTACCAGATCGCATGATTTATGCCAGGGGCACCACAGTAAGAACAATAAGGAAATAAATACATAATTTCCAAGACAGATACTTAGTAGTTCTTTTCGGCTCAGAAAGCGAAACGTTTGACTCGATGTTGCCCTCCAGCGGCGCTAAAGAGAAAAGGGAGCGCAAACAATCTGGCCCTCTCCCCGCCCCATTCCCACTGCAGTGCACGGAAAGGCAGGGGGCCGACCAAGGCCCCACTTTTAGAGGTTTTCGGTTACCCGGCTGGAGAAGGACAGTGTAGTGTCTGTGTTGTACTTTGATGTGGCCACCCTGCTCAGCAGGGGGACGCACCCAGGGAGGGCTGCAGGGCTGGCTCAGGCGCAGGGCTCCTTTGGTCAGTGTCCCCTGGCTCCAAGTCACCACAGAAACAGAGAGGGCTTTGGCTGCGTCCTGCCCTGGGCCCTGGCGGTGAGGCTCTGCCTGTCAGCACTGCCTTGACTTGCTGGAACAGTGCAGCTCCCCCAGGCCCAGGCCTCTGCACACAAAGGGCCAAGCCAGAGTTGAGGAAAAGGGCCTCTGAGAACTACATTTTTTTTTTTTTTTTACACAAGCAGCTCCCGTGGCTTTTAAGATCAAGCAGTGGCAATTTTGGAAAATACTATTCTAGACAATAATATGTTAGGAACAGTTCCTATTGGTTCAACTTGGGCTTTTTGGGTCTGGCTGTCCTTCCCCTTCCCAGGGCAGAGCTGCCATGGGGAGCACCTGTCCTCCCACGACTTCATTTCCCAGCTGCCCAGCCCTCAGCATGTGGGAACAGGAGCCTAGCTGAACCTGCTGGCGGTGAGTAGGATGATGTGGGAATTGTAGGGTGCAGCTGGGAGCAGGGCCCCTCTCTCCCTCCCCTTCTCTGTCTGTGTCACCCACGGAAGATGGCAGAGCTCAAGAAGATAGAAGTGGGCTCCCAAATCCCCAGTGGGAAAAGAACTAGGTGCCAGTCAGGGCACTGTTTTGCGTGGGAACCCACCCTCTGTGGTAAGCCATTATGGTTTTGGTTTGTTTCAGATGAAGCACTGAAGCTGTGATAGCTCCGTTCTACGTTGCCCTCACATCCTTATTGTGGGGCTCCTGGGAATTCCCACCCTGGACAGCTAGGCTGCCCTCTGCTGTGTGGACAGCACACATCTGAAGGTGCTGGCGCTGCCCCTAGAAAGGTACTGCTAACTCTCAGCCCAGGTCTTGGTGGGGAGAAGGCCAGGTCCTGAGCAAGGTTTTAGAGACAGGCTTGCTCACAACTGAAGACACCCAGGGTATAAAAGAAAATCATCTGAATTCTGCTGAGGTAAATTGTGATCTACTTGAGGGCTGAGGCTTCAGAGTCTAGACAGCTCAAAAACGGACCCTCCTCAGGAGCATGCATTGCTTTGTATGCTTCTGTCTCTCACTGTGCACAATGCAAATTCTCTGGAAGCCTGGGCTTACACAGTGAGGGGGTAACTGCAAGACCAGATGCCCCCTGGTGGCAAATGTCAACAATAGCAAATACTTTTCAAAATAAGCCTGAAAGGCTTCTCTCCAATATTTTAGCTTAGAAACATAGAAGCATCATCTCAAACTGGCCTGAGCATATGTACTTATTTTCCAAAAAGGAAGGAGTATTTCTGTTTGAGTCATAAGAGGCTGTTCCACCGTTATAATAAGTCAGACAAACTGCAAAGTCTTAGTTTGTCTTTCACTCATCAGAGAAGTGAAGCCACAGGGGATCTAACTAACTTAGAATCTAAGGAAAGACTGGTGCCTCCAAGGAGAGATGGGCATCAGCTTAAAAAGGGCTCAACTAGAGCTTGGTAAGAATTCAGCTAAAATGGCTAAGCTGGTAAAGAGTACAGACTAGCAAAATAGTATAGACCCTGATGGGTGAAGATATAAGAGAAATTCACATGCATTTACAGGCTTCTCTGACCTGGTGCTAAAAAAAAAAAGAATTCTATGAAAATCTCTTCTACAAACTTTCCTTCCTGTCTCTATTAGGAATGAAAGGTGAATTGTACAGGGGAGGGCCACAAATACCAGCTGCATTCAGAGTAATGATTTCTGTTATTCTGATTAAGAGTCCATCTTCAGTAGGCACCCGGGAGAGGGGTGACATCCTCAACTCTCCTGATTCGTCTGATTCTAGCCCAGTCACTAAAGGCCAAACAAAAGGAAAAGGTTACCTATTTTGAAGAATAAAATTGATTTACCTCAGTCTTTACTTCTCTATCAAAAAAAATTATGCTGAATAAGAAAATACACACATACACACCCAACAGATCAATAGGAGACAAAGCAGTCATCAGAGCAAGATATAGATGTGGCATAGGTGTTGAACCTATCAGGGAGGGAATTTAAAATAATTGGTAAATTAGAGACCAACAGAAGAAGTGAATACTGCACAGAATTCAAGTGTTGATTTCAGAGGAGAGACAAAAATCTCCGAGAGTAAAAAGGAAATGCTAGAAATGGGAAAAAGAAGAAAACAAAAACAGTAACAGAGATACAGAATGGCTTTGAGTACCTAATGAGTTGACTTTAGCAGCCGAGGAAAGACTGTGAACATCAAGATAGGCTGACTGAAATGATCTCAACTGAAATACAGAAAGAAAAGGGCGATTGGGAAATGAACAGGACACTGCAGAGCTGGGGGACAATAACAGACAGGCTAACATCTGGGTAAATGAAATCCCAGAAGAAGGGAGAGAGAATGGGGCAGAAGAAATACTTAGGGAAATAATAAAGAACTTTCCAAAATTAACGACTAACACCACCATAGATCCAAGAAGCTAAGAGGTCATGAAGCAGGAAAAATCACAACAATGAAAACATTTCTATACATAGCACCTTGAAACTTCAGAAAACCAAAGTCAAAGAGAAAGTGTTGAAGAGAGAGAAAAATGCAGCAGTACACACGGAGAAACAAAGATGAGAATTACAGCAGACTTTTTAGGATAAAATGTAGGACAGAAGATAATGGAATGGTATAGTAAAAGGCTGAAAGAAAAAGGTGCCAATCTACAATTTTATACCCAACAAATATATCCTGGAAACACAAAGGAGACATCAAGGCTTTCTCAAACAAAAATGAGCAAATTCATTGTCTGCAGACCTGCACTAGAAGAAATGCTAAAGAAAATTTGTCAGGCAGAAGAATGTAGTACCACTAGCAACTTGGATTTACATAATCAGCAGTGATGGAACTGGAATAAATGAATCTGAAAACAAAATTTATTTTCTTCTAATTGGGCTGAGACAGTGACAGTGAACCTTTTAGAGATGAGTGCCCAAACTACAACTGCAAACCCATTTATTTATTGCAAAGTACCAGTGCTGGATTTAAACTTGAATATTGAGATTTTAGTTTAGAAAACAACTTATACATGAACATATTTTGTCTTAAAAGAAAAACAAATAACATGAGTGCCATAGGTTCACCACTACTGCTCTGACAAGACTGTCTTTTAAAGCAAAGGGAGCCCTGACCTGTCATGTGTTCATAGTTGATAGAAAAGTAATATGTCTGATAATAACAGCACAAAGAATAGGGGGAATGAAAATAGAATCTCGGGGTGGGGTGTGACTCAGTGGTAGAACATCTGCCTAGCACAAGGTTCTGGATTCGATCCCCAGCACTGAAAAAAGTCTCATTAATTAAAAGAGTCTCATTTGTAAAACATAGGGGAATTAGTTATAATTAAAACTGGAAGTATAGTAATAGTCAATAATGGGGATAAATGGAAACATTAAAAAGCTCAGTTAACCCAAAATAGGACAACAGAGATAAAATGAGCAAGTAACAGAACACATAGAAAAGTTAGTTAGTTAGCAAGATAGTTGATTCTAACCCTTCCCTGTCATTCATGTGATTAAATGCAAATAGTTAAAACTATCAAAAGATAAAATTATCAGGTTAAAGAAGCAACATCCAAGTATATACTATCTACAAGAACTCTTAGATAAAGAAAGATAAGTTATGAGATATTCACTAC